TATCCATACACATGACACACTCCCACTCCCACACAGATGAGTCAGCAATTCGCATCCGGCGCAAGCTTTGCGCCTGTGCATGCGGCTGCAGCCAACAACCATTCAGCGTATCTGTCACAGTTGTTGGCTGTGGCGCCAGACAGTGTGCAGCTAGAGGACTCTCATGAGGCTAACCTCTTGCACTATGCGTGTGTGAGCTCTACAGGTCATACACTGAAGTACCTGCTAGATGGTAAGGGTAAGTGATGTGAGCGAGTGTATGTTGTGCGTGTGTATGTAGTGTGTGGGTGTCGCTAGTTATGTGCGTGTGTGTGTAATGTGTGAGTGTGGGTGTGTGGATTGAGATGCATAGTCTCGTCGCGATGTGGTCAGTCGTTGGTGCTACGTGGGCGCGTATAACCTCACCTCTAGGGTTCTTGGGTTTAGGGTTTGCGAGGCTATGTATCCGCAACAACGCACTGGGTGTAGTATCCTGATTGGGTCTACCATTTTTAGTTTTACTATCATGGAAAACCCCAAACCATACAGTCTAAAACATAGTCTAAAGCATACAGTCCAAAACATACAGTCTGAAACATACAGTCTAAAACATACAGTCTAAAACATACAGTCCAAATCATACAGTCTAAAACCTACAGTATAAAACCATGCAGCAGGAAAGAGCTTTCCGCCAAGATGTAACCACACACAGCCCTTACCGACTTATCCTTCTCCTATTCCCTTGTACTGACCCACTACACACCCGCAAACAGGTACCGAACTTCAACGCAACAAACCCACACGCTTCGACAAGACCACCCCACTCATGTGGGCAGCACGCGTGGCACGGGCACACAACGTATCTCTCCTCTGCGCTAACCAGGACGAAACGAAGCTATCCTCCATGCACAGAGCCATGAATCGCCTGGGCTACACACCTCTGCACTTGGCCGTGGCTAGTTGGTGTAGTGGGCGTCTGGAGACAGTGAGAGCGTTGGTGGAGTGTGGCGCTGAGGTGGATGTGCGTGCACACATAACACGACAGAATAAGACCACGCCACTGCTCATGGCGGCGGCGAAGGGCGACCTTGAGATGGTGCAGGTGAGTTGTGGGTGGGTGAGTGGTGTGGATGTATATCTGGATGGGCTTGTACAAGGTGTGATGTGGTGTTTGTGTACGTTATGCATGTGCATGTACAGCGTGTGATGTGGTGTATGTGTACGTTATGCATGTGTGGCTAAGGTGGATGTGCGTGCACACACAGCACTACAGAACAAGACTACGCAACTGCTCATGGCTGCGGCGAAGGGCGACCTCGAGATGGTGCAGGTGAGATGTCTAGCATCAGTTTCACGTACTCTCTACTCATGCATAGCCACCTATGCACCTACACCCATGTTTCTATTACTATTGGTGTGGTCTATGTCACATGACTCGTACTACATATGTAAGTATGGGTGTATATGCTACATATATAAGTATGAGAGTATATGCTACATATGTAAGTATGAGTGTATATGCTACATATGTATGCATGAGTGTATATGCTACACATGCAAGTATGAGTGTATATGCTCTTACATAAGTATGAGTGAATATGCTACATATGTAGCGTTTACGCTTATACTTACTGGGGAGCGTGGTATTCGTAGTTGTGCAAGCCCTACACGGGTAGCCTGAATCAGCAAAGGCTAAGGCCCAATGCTTTTATAATAAGCTCGGTTTAAAATAGGCACTCACTCACACGTATATACTTTTCAATATACTCAGTTGCTAGTTGAACTCGGGGCAAACCCGGTCCTACGTGACAAACTGAAAAGGGGTGCGGTTATACTTGCCGCCAAAAACGGACATGCGCACGTCCTCTCTTACTTACTGCGCGTGGGAGTGGATGCCAACGCACGCGACACCTCCGACAACACAGCCGCACACTACGCGGCGGCTTACGGATGGCTCGAGTGTCTTAAGGTGCTGGTAGATCAGGTAGGCGACTCTGCGGGATAGGGTTTAGGGTTTTAGTTGTTGTTTGGCTGTGGAGTATGTGTGTTCCTTATATGTGTTTGTGGTACTTGAGATACGTAGTGGTTGCTTACATCGAATAGTAGTATATGCAAGCTAGACGACACACCGCAGAGAAGACTTCTGTGCAGTAAACTGCGTACTGACTCTCGTATGTGCATGCTTCTCTTCACTCTCTCACGTGTGCGCCTTTGGAGTGATCACATCGCTGGGAGAAATAAATGGTGCGAGCCTACTACTTAAACAATAAGACCTACCAACACGTACAATAGATACATATGTACAAACATGCATTCATACTTACTTGCATACATATACACATAAATACATACATACATACATACATTCATACATACATACATACATACATACATACATACATACATGCATACATACATGCATGCATACATACATACATACATACATACATACATGCATACGTACATACATACATACACACATATACACCCCTTCTACACAGGCTGAAGCCTTGCCGGACGAGCGCAACAACTGGGCAACCACGCCGGTGGGTGTTGCACTGAAGAAGAATCGGTTGGCCTGTGCGGCGTATTTGCTGCAGTTGGGCGAGAGAGTGGATGTCAACATTTGCGACAAGAGTGGGGAGTCTTTATTCTGCACTGTCCTCAAGGTGTACGCCGAGGATTTGGTATGTGTGCGTGAATCAACGACACCGAACCCCCGAATTCGCGACATGTAGTAAATGTATATGTAAATGTATACGTATATTTTATGTGTATGTATATTTATAACGTATATTTTAAGAATATGTAGATTTATATGTATATATATATGTAATACGTATAGATGTATCTATATACTCACAACCATCCCAACCCATATCCCCAGGCCAACGTACCCCCAACCTTCAGCGGTGGTGGCAAGAACGCTCTAGCCGTGCCCTGGGTGGTGCAGCGTATGTTGGATCGCTCTGACCTTGACGTCACAGTAGCCGACGCACAGGGAAATACAGCCCTGCACGCCCTCGCCTCGCGTTGCTATGGCAACCAGACGGCCCGGGAGCGGATTATGGGACTGTACGATGAGCTGCTCACGCGAGGGGCCAATGCGTTGCAGCAGAACAACGAGGCGCAGGTGGCCGTTGGGTGTGTGTTAAAGCAGAAGACGTTCTGGCACACTCCCGTGGAGAAGTTGCTGAGACACGTGAAGCACGACATCACCCCCGGGTACGGCTGAGGGTGCAGTGGATATATATATACGTGTGTGTGAATCCGTTAAAGTACTGTATAGACTTGTGTGTGCATCCGTTAGCGTACTGTATAGGCTTGTGTATGAATCCGTTCTGTTGCACTCTCGTGTGTATTATGTTACACATACTTGACTATTATATATACACATACTACGATATATAAAAACACTCACGTAACATACACACACGTACTCTACTACACAGCCCCCGAAGTGGCGGCAATACGCTACTGCATCTTCTTCTGAGCAAAATTATGGATGCCACATCCAGCGACAGCGGCAGCTTTAAACAGATGTTCGGTACTTTGCGTGACACTTTGGGCGAGGACGTGTGCGGGCGATGGGCTGAGACGGTTAACGATGACGGCTACACTCCTGTACTGGTGGCGTTTGCTGGTAGGTATTTCTATTTATAGAACACATGAGTAAATTATTTATTGAACACATGAGTGAATGCATGGTGTGGATGTTCGGTACTTTGCGTGACACTGTGGGCGAGGACGTGTGCGGGCAATGGTCTGAGACGGTTAACGATGACAGCTGCACTCCTGTATTAATGACGTTTGCTAGTAGGTATTGTGATATTTCTATTTATAGAACACATGAGTGAATGTATGGTGTGAATGTTCGGTACTTTACAGACACTGTGGGCGAGGATGAGAACGGGAGATTGACTGCCACTGATTGGTAGTGAGCTGTTTATAGTTCACTTGTTTTAACGTACGAGACGAGAGTAGTGTTACTATGTACGAACTCTGCTACGGCAGATGGCTATATCGATTACTTCGCTCAACTGTATGTTAATATACCTACACAAACATACCTACACGAACATACCTACACACACATACCTACACGAACATACCTACACACACAGCGGTACAGAAGAACTGGACCTCTTGCACACATCCGTCTGTGCCGCTTTTAGAGTTTGTGGTGAGTGCTCTCCCGAGACACCTAGACGCGTGTGTGACTCGCACGGCAGCCTTCAGCGATCTGGTTGTCATGGCAACGCGCATCGCGGCGACAACGGCGACAGATTTCAGTCTGTTTGAGCGAGAAGGAGGTAGCGAGGACCAGGTATAGTAGATGATGAGTCATGTCTGTATGTGGATAGGTGTGGAATACGAGCACAGCATGAGTCCTTTTATACCCTTTTGTACTGTAGCAGGTGCAGTGAGTACCCCTTTTGTACTGTAACAGGTGCAGTGAGTACCCCTATTGTACTGTAGCAGGTGCAGTGAGTACCCCTTTTGTACTGTAACAGGTGCAGTGAGTACCCCTTTTGTACTGTAACAGGTGCAGTGAGTACCCCTTTTGTACTGTAGCAGGTGCAGTAGGTATTGTTTATGTGAGGTCTATTGTGCGTTAGTACGTGTGTGTCGTTTCATGCCAATCACATCTCTAGTTTTGGTCTCTTTAAAGCCGCGACTTACAATATCTACAGTGCACAGCTCAATACAACTCATAACTCGAGTGCACAACTATGTATACACACACAACAACAACAACACATGCATAACAACACCACACACAACAACAACAACACACACACAACTACAACAACAACACACACACACAACAACGCACACACAACAACACACTCACAACAACAGCAACACATAATAACACACGCGCACATAAAACAACCATCACATGTCAAATAAATGTCGCAGAAGAAGAATGGACGATCAAACAACGCTGGTAATCAGCGCCGTCGATCATTCTACCACTCAGATGATTCTGATTCAGGTATGTTCAAAGCTTGTACTAGAATCTATATATATATATATATATGTGTGTGTGTGTGTGTGTGTGGACAGATATATATATATATATGTATATATATATATATACATATATATATATATATATATATGTGTGTGTGTGTGTGTGTGCATAATATATATATATATATATATGTGTGTGTGTGTGTGTGTTTGTGTGTGTTTTATATATATGTATATATATATATATATCTATATTCAGCATGTATATTTATAAAGGTACATATATATATATATATATATATTATATATATATATATATATATATATATATATAATGTATGTGTGTTGGTTTGTGTCTATGTCTATGTGACTATCGGTATATACATAAATAAATATTTATATTATATATACATACAGCATCTCATAGACGTGTGTCTGTGCACTGCATTATTTCATGGGTTGTTTGTATTCCTTTGTTGTACTGTGTATATTAAGTGTTCACATGGGATGAGTCTCACTGTCATACCTGGGTCGTGTACAAGCTGTGTATATTCAGCTACACAGGATGTGTACGATTTTAACGATGCGTTCAACGCTTTGAATGCATTTTTCTAGTAGCCACTGAGTTCATATCCATATACTTTAAAAGTCGGGAGTATATATTTAGGGTAAAGAGCCTGTGAAGTGAGCGTGTGAATCACAATACACGTTGAATAGCTAAAGTGTATGGATCTCAGTGAGATATGATTTGCGACTATGGCGACGCGCGTGTGTGTGGTTTTCGTAGTCAACTTTTCTTTGGCAAATTCCTAGTAGGGATGACCATACAACTGCACACACTTGCACACGTGCACTGGTGTTGACGCATACTCACGCAAGCTTGCAAGTATACGTGTATACACCCGCGTACACTCTGAAAAGCTTCAGGTAGATGGATAGTGCATATAGCCGCAGGCTAGGTGCTTTAGGGTTCAGGGTCTAAGGTTTGTGTGTATATAGACACTTGGGTGGCTCATGTATATCTAAACCCTGCGCATGGCTCCGACAGATTCGTCTGGAGATAGCTCAGACGCCAGTGACGCCGAGGATGTCGACAGCAGCATCAGCGGGTCTAAGCCAGGCACAGCACACACTCAGATCAGATGGCGTGTGAAGGACCAGTACACACCCCACGGCAACATGAACGCGTTCCATTTCACTACCTTGATCCCAGGTATGGTATGATTTTAATATTGAGGTATGATGGTAGAAGTGAGGTACTTGGAATACCCATTCTGATTGAGTAACGTATATCTGGGTCTGGATAAACTTTTCATACCCTTTTTTTTTTTTGATATACATTCTTATAATTAGGACAAAATTTGTTGTTGTTGTTTTAATCCCCTTTTCCGTTACATATATGAAAATATCTAGGTCTGAATATACTTTCAATACTCATTTCCGTTCTAAGTATATGTATATAGGTCTGAGTATTCATTTATATATCCATTTCCGCTAAATGTATTCCTTTATATATCCATTTCCGTCACATATATACATATGTCTATGTCAAAGTTTACTTCTGTACCCCTTTTCGCTACGTATATTCATACATCTAAATCGAAGCATACGTCCTCGAGGCATGTGTAAACCCTAAACCTTAAACTCTAAAACCCTAAAGGATACGTTCTCGTGCCATGTGGACCTATGCAGGGCTATGCACCAACCATGCTTCTAGACTCGTTTGTGGCTATAAACCGCACACAACCCTTCATGTTTTAATTCGTAATCGTAATCAAATCTAAAGGCCCGTACAGGCCCACCAGAGATGTCTCGTGATGTTGTGTAATCTTAAGACAATGCCTTTGTATTTGCATCCTTGCACTATGCTAAACTATGCTACTAACACGCTGGCTGAGCCACGACGAAGAGAAGGCGAACATCGACTAACAACACTCAGGTATCCTATACGTCTTCTCATCTGTGTGGTTTCACTGCATTTCATCTCACTACAGATGTGGGGTGGTGTACTGAAATGTGTCTCGAGCTACTCAAAGCGATCTCCAAGCCCAGAGCCAAGACACTACTGAACGCAAAAGCGGTACATACCGGGACGACTCCCCTCAGCAACCTGTACAAGCTCACACACACACGCGATTCAGCCGAGACCTCTGTGCGTACCATTGCTCAGCTGATGAAGACGTTGTGTGATGTGGGTGCACATGCTATGCCTGTGTCTAACCCTTTCTTCGTATCACTGGACGACGCCGTGGCTTATCAGAGTGAGCCAGTGGATGAGACTCAGCTGCTCAAGCGAATTACGGCGTACCAGGCAGGCAGTATGTGTGTGCGGGTGTGGGTATATATATATATATGTGTGTGTGTGTGTGCGTGTGTGTGTGTGTGTGTGTGTGTGTGTGTGTGTGTGTGTGTGTGTGTGTGTATACATATATATATATATGTGTGTGTGTGTGTATGCTTGTTTGTATGTATATTTATGTATATATTGTATATTTATGTATATATATATATATATATATATGGGTGCGTATGTGTGTTTTTTAAGAGCTCGTGAACAATACAATCAAGGGAAGAAGTGTCTGTGTTAATGCCCATGGTTCATATACCATATCAATAGACACGTGTGCGACGTTGCTGAGTATGTGTTTTATGAATGTTTCTATTTGAAAGTAGTAAAGTTCAGATGTGCACGCATGTGTGTTTCTCCTCTGAAACAACAATATTGTCGATTACGCCTTCATCAATTCCTTTAATAACTTTTACGGATGAGCACCTATATTCTGATGTACGTTTATGCATGTGTGTCAATGTATGTATGTACATTTATATCTAGTGTCTGTATATTGTTGTACGTTTTTATTAAACATCTGTTTTTATGTACATTGATATCGAGTGTCTGTATGCGGATGTACTTCTGTGGTTGTATTCAATACTTATAATACTGACTCCATTCCTATGCTCGTTTGATTTCACACTGCACAGTCGATGCCAGTGCCAGTGCAATGGACTTGGACGAGTCGGTAGATAAGGATGCATCAGAGGAAGAGACAATTAAAGAGGTCCTCCACACATTCATACTCAACAGAGAGAAAGCTAACATAGCGGCCATGGTACGCGACAAAACGCGCCGTCAGTTGCTAAGCAACCAGTTTAATCCGCCGGTGCACTCGATGCTCGCTCCAACCCTGTCTGTCAAATCAGAGGTGTGTGGTGTATGCACGTGGTGTCAGGATAGCCATTGTTTCTATTTTAGTTCTCATTGGTGATGGTGTGGGTCTGTTGCTGGGAACTGAATATTGCGAATATATGAACTGTTCATGCTAACCTGTGATACGAAATATACATGTTGTGGGCCTATAGTGTACACACACCCCGTGCATAGGCTATTACTGCCGTAATTATCATATCGATGTGTATATATGTATA